GCTGTAGTATACTATTCAGAAAAGCAAAGCAACAACTATGATGTAAAAATATAGATCAAAGAAAATATATTTGGAGATAAAAGGTTTGCAGAAAAAAAGAAAAACGTAAGACTGGATATTTATTGTTGCTGGATAAGGCTGGGACAATAAAGGGAAAAGATTTCAGGTAACACATTTATGTAGATGTTCTTTTTATGTGGAGGGAAGGCAAGTTGAGGCAAACAATACTTTTCAAAGAACAGAGAAAAACAGTGTTGAATTATCTTTCCATGTTTGTGATCTATTGTCTTTGGCGGCGCTGCACTTTAAGTTCATAAGTTTCCATGACATAACATGGCTTAGCTAACGGTGTAGCTCTGAGCCAAAACTCCAGGGATCAGACAGACAGAAGAGGCACAAAGCATCGGATCGGGACGAAGCGCAGGGAAGTGGAAGGGCGAGGCAGAGCTCTGTTTATCCACCGCTGGACCAAAAGTAAGCAATTTCACCTCAAAGGGCTCTTATTGTGCATCGCGGTAGTCCTGGAATCCATTCAAAAGTCTATAAAAACAGTCATCACACAAAGACAGGCTTAGGTTAAAAGCTTATTTCCCGGGCCGTTACAAATGCACCCACTCATGTTAATACTCAGTTTACAAGCTGTGGTGAAAACGACTTATACAAGGCAAACAAATTAGAGCTATGTTTACCTAAATACACTTTTGTGCCACCACCCACAGCCTGCAGAAGCATGTGACACAAAATGCGTGTGAGAAAGATCGCGCCCTCAGTGTCGGTTAAGTTAGTGCCTCATTGCTGGTATTTTACACTCTTTAACTGCTTTACTATACCCCCTGCTCCTGAACTAACCTTTGACCTCATGACCCCTAGCATTGAAGAAGGGCCCACCACCGACAAATGGCTTGTCCGAGTGACTTCAGGGCAAAGTGATCAGGAAAATATTAAAGTCAAACTATCTAATGGTTAAATTAGAACACTTATAATACCCACATCCTTACTGGAATCAATATATGTTTGCAAAATATCTTTTCAAAAATTAAAGGCAATGATTGCATAAAAGATTGACAGACATTTTATTCAGATGAAGGGGCAATCTTTTTTCACTTCACTGAGTGCATTCAGTTTCAGAGAGAGCATGAGAGCAATCAGTTGGGATTCAATTTCAAATTTCAAGGACATTTCTGAGATTAAAATATTACTTTAAATTTTGTCCAAAAGAATCAGGCCTTTGTGGTCAGCGGCCTTGCATCCTGCCAGAGAACTGATAAAGAAGAGACACTGAAAAAAAAAGACTACGTAATACAATATGTCATCGTTCAACTAGCTCATTCAGTCACACATAGGAGAACCCAAATCCAGGAGAAACCCTGTGGGTGACTCTTCATTTATTTGAGAAAAAGTTGTGATAAACATATTTGAACACTTAAGATCTCAACTTATTCACATTCTAAACAGATCTGTGCACTTGTGAAAATGCTCACGGCCAAAGGCACTGTCAGCTGGGCAATTAACAGACCCTGCCCACAATGAAAAGTGTCAAAGACTTAAGGCCCAGTGGAGGCTCAACAAATCATGAGTTCAGTCCAATAATGTCCATCTTTAGTACATTGATCTATTGGTCCCTATACTGTTCATGGCTACAGATAAAAAAAAAAAAAAAAGATGATCTTTGAAGATTAATTTAAAACGGCAAAGCCCTGCACGTGTTAATATGGTATGAATGAGCATTGCGTGCATTATCAAGACACATTTTATAGATGATATACAAAATACTGAATGTTTTGTATAAGTAAATAAACTAAAACCAGTGGGGAGAGGAAAATGTGCCTTTTGATGCAAAACCACAGTTATGGTTCAGTGCAGACCTGAAGAACCGTGACATGTTTACCAGCTTCAGCTGATACTATCTTTAGCAGTGTGCAGTTTATACAGTTTTATTACAGCTCAGTTTACCCCTCTCTTATGAAAACACTGCATCTGCTGCCCACTCCACATGTTTTGTTGTCTACACCCACAAGAGCAACAAGACGTCAGCCGGAAGAGTCAAGTGTCTCCCACAATAAATCTCCAGTTAGAGGGGTCAGACTTTAGTCATATCATAATCAGATTCAAGTCTTGTTCATTTTTGAGTAAGACTGTGGTGGTATATTACATGTTTGGAATTATTACAAAATTTCAACTACAAAATTGTTATATCAATATTATCAATATTGTGCAGTACCATACAAATCTCTAATCTCTGTCTACATTACAGTTGTACCCTAGATTGCTGTTTTAAGTCACTTCAGTCACTTCTCCAAAACAAGTAGTTATTACAACACAACAGGAAGCACATGGTATATGGTACCAAACACTGAGAGGAGGCGGGGTCACATTTCCCTCTAAGTAGTGCATTCATCAGACAGGCCTCTGCAGTGATAAACGTATGGTGTCAGTCTCCAAGATAGCAAAAGCCATGCACCCCCATACAACTCCCACACCTCAGACCAGAAATACCATCCACAAATGAGACATTAGGGCAGCGGGATTCTTCAAAACAACTAGTTTTATACTACATAACAACCATATTATGAAGATAAAGTTAGCTTTACTGGAATGTTTGAGACTTTGGAGAAGTAAAGGTTCTCTTCTTCAAAAAAATTAGGTGTTTTGGTAGGATTAAAGTTTACCGATTACTGTCTCCCAGTGATGGAGAGAGGGCTGGAGATGCACAGAGCACAAGTGTGACGACATGTGACTGTGCAAATCCATCTGCGCAGAATTAATGTGGCAGACACGCACGTTCTGTCGCCCAGGCAACAGGGCTAGCTTTGAACACCAGCCACATGACAAATATATTCACAAATAAAACTTAAGAGCGTTATAGCAACAGAACAGTAAATCATTAGGGATGGGACCAGATCTCTCGCCTAGAGGTTATGACTATGTCTATTATTTGTCGCCTATCTGCAAGAATTATATAGGTTAGCAGTATAATTGATAATATATGCAATTAGTATCTCTATACATGGGTCACTACAGGAACAAGGATTCAAAACTACAATAAATTAGGCTAAGAAAGACATTTGCAAAAATCATATTTGACCAGACCATATTCGACACAAAATGCAGACCATATTTGACACGAAATGCACCTGACAATACAAGGAAAATAGCCTTTTCGTAAATTGCATATTTTATTCCAACTTAGTATCTAATCAGTAAATGTTTCAGTGCCTTTGTGTAATGCCAGTGCTCCTACAAAAGTCAGTTTTTTTTCTGATAAACTGCCTAATTCTAAAAGCAGAGGATAAGAGCAGCTGTATTTCATCCACAAACATTTGACAAAAGGCATGACGCAACAATGGTGTAATGTATATCAGAGAAACTCCATCTGAGAAAGACCAGTGCTTCAAGTGGATGACGCAAATGCAAAGCTGTACCGTGTTTTATCCTTTTCTCTTGTAAACACAGGGATCTGAGCGTGAGGGGAGTTTCATTTCACGCACACACATGTAATCGCCAACTAATCACGTTTACAGCAGGCCTTGGACTCAACAGTTCCACAGCAGTACAGAGCAGATGGGCCCATGTACACTTGGATTAACTCAGGTGGAGGAGGTGAGATGGAACCTTACCAGGGGGGCATATTAACAAAAGGTTTGACAAATTCATATAAGCAGATGAAAAACACTCACGTTATCACTTTTATTTATCACTTACTCGCAAGCTATATTTACTGTACATCAGTAAATACAAAAACAATGTTTAACATCAGTTGACTATTTTCCAAACAAAAAATACTGAAACAAACTATAAGATCAAATCCACTATACCCACAGTCATAACAATACAATGACACTATTTACTTCCCATTCTGTCTGTTAAGTCTAGTAGGAGCCCTTTCACACACTGTGCATGCCACAGTCTTCTGACATTTATAACTAGAGTTTCTCTGTTTTTTAACCAAAGAATGTTATTGAACTCTTCAGTGATTTGTTCAGACTTTTCTGCATAACATGACACCACATTACTGTAAGGCATGCAAGTCATGAGAGTGCACCAGTGACCTCCAGGTCATATGTTAACATTGGAGAACAGCAGCTCCACACAGAACACTGTGGCACATTCCTACGCCTTTAAATTTTAGTCTGTGGATGGGCTATCCATGGACTTTGATTATCCATGGATATTTCTGTCCTCATATATTGATCAAAGCCAGCCACATCACTCCAAAAGTACTTAGTATCTGTGAGCCAGTGTCTTAGTATGACAGCTTCACATTGGTCATTTCTAAATGTGGCATGTCTTTCAGAAATTCACAATAATGTGCTGTTCCTGACAAATGCAGGCGGGCTTAAGATGTGTGCAGTATTGTTCGTGGGAGAGCCCACGCCACACCCATAGCTCTCCCTGGAGGCAAACGTACCCGAGATCAGCGCCACTGACTGATGACGGGTTCAGAGAGGACAGGACGAGCTCCGCATGGCTAACTCTGCACACTCCCGGTCCATGCAAAGTCTCCCGCTCACGGGGACAAAGACAAACAGTTTGCAAACACGCGTAAAGTAGGACTTCACGTAAAAGCATAATTAATCGGTTTTAGGGCTCGCCGATCTTTTTAATCACAGGGCGCATTAGCACACTGCAGCAACAACTCATGCTAGCTTAAAAACATTAGCCTAGGCGGGCACCGCACGACTAACATTAGCATCAAATCAAAGTGTTGGCTCCGCGTTGTTCGTGGGTGCGGTGTCTGTGTATATTCACGCGGACTGGGATTTTAAAAAGATAACAAAATGAAAGCTTATTGACTCAATTTGCAAACAAAGTTGGATGATGTAAAGAATTGTCATTCCCTTGAGTCTATGATTCTGAATCCCGGTTAAGTTTCATTCGGGAGCATCCTTCGCTCAAAAACAAACCCACCCGAAGCTGTGCGTGGGGGGTAGGTTAGCTGCTAACTTACTTATGGCGGCGGGGGACCTCACAACAACACTGCAAACGAAAATATCACTCACCACTCACCGAGATGCGCCGTATTCCTCTCCCTGCAGCCGGGTTTCCAGCGGGTTCATGAGCAGACGGGGGAGATACGGGACAGCTAACAATCTGAGCTAATGTAAGGACACGGCGATGCGCCTCACAACAGCTGTGCTCTGTTTTGAATGAGGACTCAGGGCGCACGGCTGCGGGCGGAGCTACTGCGCAGACCTGCCATCACTACTGGGACAGTTAACACTTTTTGTTTTTTCAATAGTTGATTTTTCTTCCATCTAGATAGGAAATAAGTCAGCTGCGTGAACAGGTTTATTCATCAAATGAAAGCCAAAAGCACCACTTTTGTAGTTCAAAAAGTTCAAATGTTCTGTTCTAACGCCCTCTTGTGGAACTAAGATAATTCTGCAGTCTGAACCGGCGTTCCTCAAATACTCAAACCCCTTACCATTCCGAGGGACCATGCGTGAACCCTTGTACTTTTTCCTTTTTGTGCAACTTATGATTAAGCGGAACGATCAATCTCAAGCACATGACATAAATGGAAATCAATAACCCACTTTCAGTCAAATCAGCCATTCTGAGAAGAATCTGGACTCCAAACCCACAAATAAAAAATAGGCCTAACCCAAAAATTCACAAAGATTTCATAGGAGTTTTATATTATTTCCGCCTGGACTTTTTTGCCAAATTACAAGTTCCCATTTTTAGCATGATTTGTGCTTCAAGCTTTAACATGGGAATTGTCAAGACTCAACAAATGCTCAATCTGCTGTCTACGTGATCATCCCCAGAAACACCAAGTGTTACCTATTATTATTTTTACCACAAATAATTCAGGCAAAATTTGAAATCTGACTTTCTTCTGTGTAGCGTTCGTTCCCAATTAATATTAGAGTAGATCAGACAGCAGAGGCCAAAACAACAGAGCCTCAACTTCACAAAGAGTCCAGCCATTTGTCTGTGCTCCAAAGGGTTCAAAAACCGATTCAGTTTGAAATGAGACCCTCAGTTTGAAAGTCATTTTAGTCAGATGAACAGTTGGCAGGAATGGTAAGAGAAGTTGCTAATATATTCTAATATAATTGCTAGGATTAAAATGTAGGAATCACGCATGAACTCAAACCACATATTTTGTTTCAGTGTTTATGTCTGATATGTTTAAAAATACACAGAGCTGTTCTTAGGACAAAACTGAACTGTTTCACAATCACTCTCCAAATTTAAGTTGCCGTTCTTTCGCCAAACCATGAAGCTCCTTAGCTCGGTTTTTCAGTTCCTCTGCTTTCTTTTCATCCTTTTCTGTGCCATCACCAAGCTTGTACATGCGACTTGCATTGGCACATCCGTAGACATGTCCCAGTTCACAAGCCCTGTTGGCATACTTTAGTGCTAGTGACATATCTGAGGCCACACCACCTGGATTGCCTGTTATATACAAAGCACTGAGGTTGAAGCATGAAGGAGCAAATCCACCTGCACAGGCTTTCTCATAATACTGTCGAGCAGCCTTCACGTCTGGTTCTCCATCCGTGGCCCGTCCATCGTGAGCTAGGAGACCTACATTGTGGCAGGCGTCTATAGACTTCTTTCCTCCAGCATTGCAGGAGCGCAGAAAACAGGAGTAGGCAGCTTTCAGACACTCAGCTACGCCCCCTGGTGGAATATTAACGAAGAAAGAAATTAGAGAGAATGTCTTTCAACTTAGATGCTGCTTTTTGTTTATAAATTTTGATAACTGCAGTTGCACTTACCTTTCCCTGTGACATGATAGGCTCCAAGTTTATAGCAACTTTCCCCATGCCCATAAGTTTCGCAGTTGTGTTTAAGCACTTGTGCTGAAGCTTCATAATTTTTCTTCACCCCTTCCAAATAATCAGCCAGTCGTTGACACCCTACGAGTCACAATATACGAAAAGTTACTAAAATGTCAGTAGGATTGCAAAGACAGGATACATCTACATCTAGAGTCCTACATCTGTGGACAGTGCACGTACCTTCAGGGTCCTTTTCTTTGTAGCACTGAAAGCTGTATTCCACTCCTAAATTGTCTAAAAACTGCTTTACCTCTTTTTCATCCTCAAAGTTAATTAGTCCAGCCATCATAGAAGCTCAGTATTATAAAGAGCACGTATAATTCCGTAACCACTGCCCAGACAGATTATGACCTTGTTGGTATCACTTACATTGAGTTAAAGATTACGCTGTGGTTTCCAAAATTAAAAAAAAATGCTGTAGATTCGCAAAAGTGAAATTTTGCACGTACGTAAATCGATTAGCCACGAATAGTTATCGCTGTAATAATAAATAATCCAACAAACTTGTTAAGTAATGCAACCATGCCGGTGTATAGCGCCAAAGTCTTCCGTAATGTTTTCAACGAGTAGGCTTCCGTAGTTCCGCCCACTTTCCGTGTACTTCCTGTGTTATAACCTTTGTTTACTGTCACTCTTCTCGGTCCAGTCAAAAATAGACATATGGGTACTCCGTGAAAACTATCTATAAGCCTCGGTCATAAATTCAGAGCTGTTGTCGGGACAGCAATTGGTCAGTATCTTTTAAACATGCATTCCTGTGCGGCCGACGGCTACCAACATTTTTGCACGAAAAGCGAATTTCTTCTACCGAGGCAACAACAAGTGAGTTAGCTTGATCGTCTCTAACAGACGTTTTAGCTCGTCGTATGGTTCACATAATGTCAGATTGTAAAATAATTGCGTATTAAAGAGCCGCGCTGTAAAACATTTTGGGTCATTTTTTGTGGTAAAGGCTTTCTACGTGTGCATAAACGAACCATAAGTTTTAATCATGGCGATGGCCGCTTGTTTTTTAAATACGGTAAGTCATACTTTTACTTTCACATGCATCTTCTTTCCTATGATGCTGGATAACTGTGCATAGATTTGAAAGTGACCATGATAATGACCTCTAGGATGAAGCGTCCCCCGCGTCTCTCACAGACCTGTGCCTGACTTACGTAAGCCAGAACCTGGGATATTTCTCTCAGAAACGCCCTGATGGATCCCTGTGTTTAAGAGAGGCTGTACTGTTCCCACAAGAGCTGGCAGACCAGCTTTTAGCCAAGATGGCCACTGAAGGTAAACGCATTAACTGGCAATGTGCTGAATACTAGTGCAGCTACAGTAGATAATTCCAATTCTGAACATATGTAATATTCCTCAAATAAATATCCCATTGTACATTGTTCTAAAATGCATGAAATTTGAGCTAAACTAAAAGTGACATGTCTTCTTCTCTTGTAGGTCTTTTGAATGACAGTACAGTAGGAGTCTTTCGAAATAGTGAATATCTTCGTTTGAGGAGAGCATGTATCCGGACTGCACGCATCTCTGCTGAGGCCTTTCAGAGAGCCCTCTGTCCCCACAGGTTGCTGGAGCTTGATGCTGCTAGAGTAAATGCAGATCTCACAATACCTGATATTTTACAAGGACTGGCCACCAATAAGTACTGCCAGGTAAGCATAGAAACAGTAAAAACACCATTGACCTACCTTACCTAATGAACCATATAATTTATGTAATGTTCTTATTATACAGGAATCCCTACAGCGACTTGTGTTAACAGGTCTAACAATGTCCTCTCTGGAAGAACCAATCCAGTATCGATTCAGCTCGCTCCATGCTCTACGCTCCCTGTCTTTAGCCAATGTGGACTTTTATGACTCCGGGCTTGTGGATGTTTGCTCCCTGCCTCGTTTGGAGAGCTTGGATCTATCCAATACATCAGTCACCAACTTGACTCCTCTTTTGGGTCTAAAGGAGAGACTACGCTCCCTGACTCTGCATCAGTTAAAGAGACTAGAGATGAGCACTGGTCAGCTGCTGGGTGTCATCGGCCAGTTGGAAGTATTACAGGTTAGTTCATTGCTACCTTTTACATCATTATGTTGTATTATCATGAACTAATATTTTTACTGTAATATGCAGCACCTAGACATCAGCGATGACAAACAGTTCACTTCTGATGTTGCTCGTCAACTTCTTGGACAGCCTGGAATTTTGCCTGCACTTGTTTCCCTGGATGTGTCAGGGAGAAAGCATGTATGTCCAGATTTTAAATTGTTACTCAAGATTGTGAAGCTATATTTATGTTCACCAATTCATTATTTATTACAGGTGACTGACGCAGCTGTTAAAGCATTTGTCGAGGAGAGGCCAGGAATGACATTTGTTGGACTTCTTGCTACAGACGCTGGATTCTCTGATTTCCTCTCTGGAGAAGGAAATCTAAAGGTGGCTATAAATGCGTAGTATTTTATGCATGATGTACTAAAGTTATAGTAATTTACCTTGTGTTTAAAAGGTAACTGGCGAGGCTAATGAGAAGCAGATATGTGAAGCACTTCGCAGGTACAGTGAAAGAGAGGGTTTTGTGAGAGAAGCCCTGTTCCACCTTTTTAGTCTCACCCACGTCATGGAAAAACCAAGACCAGATATCCTTAAGGTGAATTAAAATTATAGAAATATTTATTAAGCTTACACAAACTAAATGTGTGTTTTTTCTGTGTGTGCAGCTGGTTGTTTTGGGAATGAGGAATCACCCGGCCACTCTAAATGTGCAGCTTGCAGCCAGTGCGTGTGTCTTTAACCTCACAAAGCAGGACCTGGCAGCAGGAATGCCAGTGCGACTGTTGAGCACCGTCACTCAACTTCTTTTGGAGGCTATGAGGACATTTCCCAACCATCAACAGGTATTTAACTTAAGTGTTGGTCTTTTAATGTTTTATTGTACACACTAATGCATAGAGCATTATACTTTTTCTCTTTAGTTACAGAAAAACTGCCTGCTGTCTTTGTGCAGTGATCGGATTTTGCAGGAAGTCCCCTTTAATAGGTAACATACTTATACCTTAACTGCAGATGACACCATTACACTGTTTTAACACACACCACGAGTGAAACTCTGTGACGATGTGTTAAAACATTGTTTGTATTCTGATATTACTTTAGGTTTGAAGCAGCTAAACTTGTGATGCAGTGGCTTTGCAATCATGAAGACCAAAACATGCAGAGGATGGCTGTAGCCATCATCTCTATTCTTGCTGCCAAAGTAAATATTGTAATATGTAATATGTAATATGTAATTCACAGTTTTACATTGTAATCCTCTTTTTGTAGTTGTCCACAGAGCAGACAGCCCAGCTTGGAGCAGAGCTTTTTATAGTGAAGGTAGATTTTCTTGTCTTTCAATGTCTAGTGACACAGAACCTTTTATTCTTTGTCATTTTTATTTTTTTTACCTACAGCAACTACTGCATATAGTTCGACAGAAAGCTACTCAGGGCGTGGTTGATGCCACTCTCAAATTCACTTTGAGTGCACTCTGGAATCTCACTGACGAATCACCCACAACCTGCCGTCATTTTATTGAGAACCAAGGGCTAGATCTGTTTATAAAAGTGCTGGAGGTAAACATGATTTACATGCTGTAAATGTAAATATGCTGTATGCTGTACTTATTTTTTCTATTCAGGTTAGTCATAGTAAAAAAAAAAAAAAATCTTCCATGCCTTGGAAATTTTGTGTGTGTGTATGTATGTATGTATGTATGTATGTATGTATGTATGTATATATATATATATATATATATATATATATATATATATATATATATATATATATATATATATTTGTGTGTGTGTGTATGTATGTATGTATATATATATATATATATATATATATATATATATATATGCACTCAACTTTCTTTCTTTTTGCAGTCATTCCCCAACGAATCCTCGATTCAGCAGAAGGTCCTGGGATTGCTGGTGAGTTTTTGCTTTTCTGTCACTGTGCAATAAATGAAAACCGTTCAATATGACATAAATAAATGTTTTGGTATATTGTTAGAATAATATAGCAGAGGTTGCGGAACTTCATGGAGAACTAATGGTGCAGGGTTTTCTGGACCATATTAGCACTTTACTGCACAGCTCAGAGGTGGAGGTTAGTTACTTTGCAGCTGGAATCCTCGCTCATCTCACATCCAGAGGAGAAGAGTCCTGGACACTCAGCCCCAGTCTGAGGTCCTCACTGCTCGAACAACTAGTAAGAAATATCCACTGTGTGCAAGTGTCAATAATTATATGCTCAATAGATTAATTTATTATGGCTTTTTTTCCCTTTAGCACAATGTTATTACAAAGTGGCCCCCACCTGAGTGTGAAATGGTTGCTTACAGGTAGGCTACAGTGTTTCCCCTTCATTTAAGATCATGTAAGAATTCTCTGTAACCTTTTTTAATATAATGTCCTTTTCATTTCATAGGTCATTTAACCCTTTCTTTCCTCTGCTGGAGTGCTTTCACACACCTGGTGTCCAACTATGGGCAGCTTGGGCCATGCAGCATGTTTGCAGTAAGAATGGTAATACACCAAATACCAATACATGTATTTTTATGTTCTTCTCTTGTTTTGTTTTTTTTTTTTTTTTCAATTTTAACCAAATTGTATTTCTGCGTCCTCTCAGCCTCTCGCTATTGCAGCATGTTGTTGGAGGAGGGTGGGCTACAACAGCTCGAACAGGTCCAGGCTCACCCTCAAACTCACAAAGACGTTAAAATGTTGGCAGAGAGTATTCTGGAGAGTTTACAGCGGCATCGAGCCCGAACTGGGCACCCTGTAAATGTGCCCCCAAGACGCCCAGTGGAACAGTGATTTCGCACAGGTACAATCCCTTTACAAGTCCACTTATTATAGCTGTTCAAAATCATTTAACAGTGTTCTTAAGCAAATGATCTTTATTTAAAAAGGAATATATGTATAGAAATAATTAATCCCCTCCTTTTTTCAGAAATAAAATCAGGAAAAAAGAGGACATAGCCTGGATTTTCCCAATGAGGGATTTTTTATGTGTGACATCAGGCACAAAGCATTAAGATATGTAATTATTTGCACACAATCTTATTTATTTCATAAATTAGTTGTAGTTGTGTGCAAGGTAAACCTATTATGAAATAATACAACTAATGAGAAAATTTAAATTCTGTAGTAATTCTGTCATTGGCATTATTATGACCTCTGACCTGAATAACAGTTACGGGTTATAGCAAATGTTTATGTTGTCTGGATTGTTTGAATATTTAGTTTATTTAATGCATGACTCTGCTGTGAGCTCAAGCATGCCACATTTGTCTCAGTGTGTACACCATTCATTTAGGAATGCCTGCCTGTATGTCTATAGCATTTTTTCAAATGAAGCATCACCTTTGGGTCCAGACTACTTCTCTTGCCTCTATTTTATTAGCCAGTGCGTTGATATGAATGGACACTTGTTGTAGGTTTGTTGTGGTTCAATATACTTTATAATATAAAGGCCTAAATAATTAAAAGGGGTCACTTTAGTGTGCAGCACATTGACAGTTGTATACAGTAGTTATTCTGTAAATCATACATCATACCTAAGTAGCTGTGCTCTAAAGAGGATCATGAATGAAATGTTTATTCCAAGGTCTAGAAAAGCTGCAGTGGCAATAAAGGACTGGTCCATGTTTTGGACTTCATTTTGGAGACTTTCTCCTTGAGAAAATAGCATAAATAATATGTTCACTGTGCTTCCCATTTTGTTAATGTCTTTAAGACAAAGAAAGCGCTTCAGTGTGAGCATGTGTATGTACATTGTACAAGCTGCATCTAAGAGTGTCAATATTTTGTAATGAAAGTGAATAATGCCTGACCAAGGGGGGATGCATGTTTTTTGTCTATATACGTTTACTAGCCAGGCCTTCAGTTCCATCTTCTGACAAGAATATAAGACATATCTGTCTATTTATCAAGTTGATGATGCAATGTTGGTAACTCTTAGGTATCATAATTTCCAAACTAAAGGTACTTCACTTCATTAGTGTGCAAATCAGATTTTATCATGAGTATCCTGGTTAAAGGAATAAAGTTTTCCATTGTTGGTTAAACTGGGCATTCTGCAGTTTAACTGAAAAAGGGGAACCCTTCTTTTATTTTTTGTGAACAGTACATTTATGGCAGAATAGAATGTAGTTTTCTGGTACTCTTAATAAGATCCAAACTGATTGCCTGGGTAAAGACCAGCTCCATTTATTGTACAAAAAATTGTAGATGGAGAATTAAACTGTGCCATGTCATGCTGAGAGTGATGTTTTCATGTTATAATAAAGAATGTACATTCCTGAAGATTTTGTACTTTTTTTTTATCATTTATGTTCAACAGAATAAATGCATGTTAAATACAGTAGAAATAAGAGCCTTATGTCAGTAAATTCAGTAAACTAGACATAAAACTTAAAGCTGGTTACATTAATTTACATTTACATATAAATGTGATTCAGTTGCTTGAGCACGTAATGGTCTAATTTCCTCTGCTGTCTGATCATGTCAGGATGCTTCTGTGGTGTGGACACTCAAATACTATTGTTTATTCCCCTATGTAATTTGGAGGTCTCTTTTCAATAAAAGCAGCCATACCCTCCTGTCTGTCCCGTGTTGGGATCACCTAAAATAACAATACATAAATAAAAGCTAGAATTATGCATACAAATTAACAATGTGGTTTTAATGACATTCAAGCGTCTTACCCGGGCATAACACATCCTCTCTATTGCCATTGCTGATGTCATATCAACCTGAGGGAAAAAATAATAAAGACTGATTTATGCTGAGAAAAATAAACATGAGGTAACTTGTGACTCACCTCAACACCTCTATTCATTGCTTCCTTTGCCATTCGCACAGCAATGGGAGCCTGTGTTAAAATACATAATGCTGAAATGGTTTTAAAAAAACGGACTCGTGTGTATATATATATATATATATATATATATATATATATATATATATATATATATATATATATATATATATATATATATATATATATATATATATATATATACACACATATAAGGATGAAATGTGAATTTTGACATCATGATATGATTGTTGTTGTCACTGTACTTTCTTGGACTACTTTTTATAAATACCAACCACAACAGACCAGGAAGATGCTCTGAGCCACACATCTAGCCATCAAAGTCATTCAAATACAACCACTGTGTATCACAAAGTGACTGGAGGAAGGGGCATTAACGATCAAATCATGATCTGTCTTCATACTGTAATATATCTGCTTCATATTTGATATGGCTCTATTACTAGCCAAATGTGCAAAACCTCCATAGAGATAAGTAAAAACTATCTTAAAAAGTAAACAAACTGTTAAGATGATGTGTCAAAACTTGTAAATACATTTAAATCATACAGACTACTACAATGTCACTATACACTTTAATTAAAATTTTGTACTCATTATTTTAAAACCCTACTGGTTTAACCTTAGGCTAATGGAAAATTCTATGATGTAGAACAACACAATCCCAAATTCTTATGAATATTGATCTTGTTCTATTAATAACATTTTTTTGCCATTCATATACAGTATATATCATACATACATGTATATATCATCATATATCAAACAGTATAGGTAAGACAGTACTAAATCACCTCTTACCTATACTGTCTAATAAAGATGTACAACTAAATCAGTCCTGATCTTCATTACAGCTGTACACTCAAACACAGTATCAATCATGTCCATATACACCAGCATCTGTCTGAGTGTTGTGCTTCTCCACATGACTGCTGCTTTGGCCCAAATGACTGTGGGCATTTCAAGTGAACTGAAAGAAATGCATAATGACAGAGACCCAGAGAGAAGTGAAAAGAGAAGGGACAGAGAGGGAGGGGTGGGGGGAAGTACAGATTGAAAGATGTCTCGAAATGCATGACAGCAGCAATAAGAAAACTGTTATGGAGTGGGAAAGCATCACTATCAAAGAAGGAGCAAAGTGTTGCAGTGTGTTCTGACCTGGGGCAGTATCTCTCTGGCCAGACTGAGTGCTTCTCTGTAGGCAGAATCTCCAGCCTCGTTCTGGTCAACTGCCCTGTTTACGAGTCCCATCTCTACAGCTGTACGTCCATCTATACGCCGCCCTGATAGCACAATAACAGCACACAAGTCTGTCAGCAATATGGGCACAAGAAACTCTTTCCGAGGTAAAATCACAACTCAAGCACTACCACTCTGCCTTTTGAGGTTTTCTAGTGCCTAAAGGCTATGAGACAATATAGAGCTACAAAGAAATAGTATATGCAAGGTATAGGTTACAATTGAGTTCAATTCAATATACAGGGGTGTCAAATTCAAATTCACAGAGGGTCAAAATTAAAAACTGGGACTAAGTCATGGGCCAAACTAAATATTTAATGAAAAATTTCTTCAACATCTGTATGTTTTTTTCTTCTTTTGAGATATGTAAAACCTTTTCTTATTAAAATAAATGTTTAATAATAGTATTGCTTACACACTGAATTCAGAACAAACAATATAAAATAATAACAAAATTTTAAATAAATAATGTCTCTATAGCCTGTGTAGACAGCAGGCCAGCTCTTATACATATTTGATATGATCTTGCAGGCCAAATATAATTATATTGCGGGCCAAATTTGACCCACGGACCTGAGTTTGACATGTCTGATCTACAATAACAACAGAAATGGTTGTTTTCAGAATTGGTTGGGAAGAAATAAGTACATGAAGATTTTTTTTTTTTTTTAAACAATGGCTATATATGAATGCATAAAGTTGTAAATTTGAATAATTAAAATCCAAGCATTAGAGAATGTTATACTGACCCATCCCAAAAAGACTTTGATGTAAGGGCTTATAGAATAAAAGATACAGTACGTCACTTTAATATGCAAATTACTGCACACTATAAGGTAATTATTAACTGTGACGTCAATAAGTTGACTGTATTATAGTAACCATATTGTATCAGCACCTGTGAAGATGAGCTCCTTGGCTAGAGCGAGACCAATGGTCCGTGGCAGGCGTTGACTGCCCCCTACAGGACAAAGAAAAATCCAAGGTCATGCTACAGCTGTCCATTCATCTCAATATACCATACTTAATAAAACAAGGAAAGGGCATCTGAACTTGTTCATTTGACCTCTGGATTTCTTACCCGCCCCTGGGAGCAGACCTCTCGTTGTCTCAATCAGCCCCATATGTGCAGAATAGGCTGAAACACACACACACACACACAAACTATAAAGGACAGTTGAAGGTCTGCAGCAGCGTGCCATTAACCTGCACAGGGCGTGAAGTCTGACTGATGCTTCTGTCACAGCAGCTCGGACAAACACCTGCTCACCTCCGCATCAAGGCCACACCAATCATAGAGCAGCAATAAGTGAACCAGCCAATCACAGAGCAAAGTCAGCAGTGAGAACAGCTGGGCATAGGTCTGGCCTCTGAAGCCCCTCATTAGTCCCACGTCTCATCAGAAATGTGTCGGCACAAAGATCTCAATGTCAAATGTTAAGTACTAGCTGTGATGCTATGTCTCTCTGGGGCACTCAAAATACACTGCAGTCAAATCTGACCAGAGAGGAAGGACTTTTGCATGACACTGAAATTATGGTTTATGGCAGTAGCAAAAATGTGAAGGAAATATTTTGGCTTTTTTTTTTATTTGGGAACTGATGAAAATAAACTGTAAATATACAGGCTTTTCTATGCTGATTCTGTATTGCAGACTGTTGTGTCTTTGGGTAATTCACTCAACGCTCCTTTCTCACAAAGCATGGGAACCAACTTATGTGAATGTGAGTGTGTATTTTGGTATTTCTGGGGGCAGGTCCCCATGATTTAAATTCTTTATTTTTTAGATCTTGACTTAAAGTTCTGATATGGTTATAGGTTAAGGTTATGGTTTAGATTAAGTTCAGAGAAGTAGTAATTGTGGTTAAGATTGGGGATAGTCTCCAGGAAATGTATGAATGTCAATGTAATGTCCCTTAAAAGCCCAGAAACCCAACATGTGTGAAGTGTCATCATAATAGGTGGTATTTGGAAAGATGTTACCCACCAAAAATCATGCATAATCAATTTAAAGTTCCTATGTTATGCAAAATTGACTTTTGTGGGCTTTAAGACCTGTTATAATGTTGTTATATCACATCTGGAGTTTTGTTCCATTCACACATGTTTGAGTAACCCTGCATCATTAGTCTGTCTACATCTCAAAAGCTCAAAATGCCCTGTTCCACACTGTATTAAAACATAATATCACAAAGTGGAGTGTTTTCTGTTCCTAAATATGCAGGGTTTGTTAAACATGTAAATGAAACAAATAACATTTATTACAATTATAAAACCCTTTAGCAGTTATTATAAAAGTCACATTAGGATAATTTATACACTGGAATGCTGAGAACTTGTTGACTCGGCTAACACACTTCGGTCTCACTTAGCCATCACTAACCTGCAGTACGAAGGTCACAGGCCAAAGCAAGCTCCAGTCCACCCCCCAGAGCAACTCCATCTATGGCTGCTATAGTTGGCATGGGCAAGACAGCTGCAAAAAACAAGTAAGAAAAGTTAGTTAATATTAGTCCTCTCACGATAACACATTTTGAAGTGCTTTATATTGCTGAAGTAAATATCAACGATAAACACTAATATTTAAACAAATGTATGTCACTGACACAAAAACACAAGAGCAGATTTAAATCTATTCTAAATCTACAATATATGTTAAAAAAAAAAAAACAACATGAGCTACAATAAATAAATAGCTTAATGAAACACCTAAGTACTTAGTTTGTATCTGTAACGGGTCATAGAAGTTATTAATTCAACCTATTACATCTTAAATCTTATCAAATAGTGAAAATATAACAAAAATAATTACCAGTAATGTAAAGAAAATTTAATTATTGTAACAGGCCTAGTTAATACAAACAGTATTTAATTGCCCTCATTTCAGACTTTTGATCTATACCTATCTGAGTCATGAGAGAGCGGAGGCCGTGGACAAACAGGTCTGACTCAGAGTTGTCCATGAGGGCTCTCTCCTTTAAGTCTGCACCTAAATCAACACGCACACATCAGACATTTTTAGACAAGCTTTGATCTCCAGAAACACCAGGTGGATTTCAGCAGGAGGAGAAAGACTCACCTGCACAGAAAACTCCAGGAACCAGGCTCCGAAAGACAACAACCCGGGCTGTCGAATCAGTGGACACAGAGGACAACAGCTCTCTCATCTACAGGCATATACAAAGGAATTCTGAGCTACCAAGATTCAATTGTATGATCAAATTACAAAGATTATGTAGGTCTGTGTTGCAATCCTACTGAATTCACTGTGTACAATTATTAAAAGTAGGTTGGTTAAGCAGAAACCTTCAGGGAATATAAGTGAAGATGCTGTAGCAGCTGTTGTATAGCTGTTATAGAGCTGTAAAACATAGTGTACTGAAACATACTGTTGTCCTAATAAAGATCTAGAATAGTCCTATTATAGACCTGGTTTGTTTGGCGGTAGGCTTACTTGGTGTGAAATGTTTGAGGACAAACATAGTTTTATTAGCCTACTTAAAGCAGCAGTGAGAGTGTCAGCCTTCTGCAATTAATATTGAAGTCTAGGCTAACATTAGGCAACTAAAAGGATGGAGTATGCTGTAAAGTACACTTACTGTAGGTCTATATGTTTAGTCCTACATTATCCTACAATAATGTCAACCTACCTGTGATACAAACACGTGTCCCAACGCATTCCTTGCTTTTTGTCTGCACATGAGCACCTCCACAATACCTGCACAACATCCAGCATGTCAGAACCATCATTTTCCTAAACAGCATTGTCTATCTATTAGCAAACTGCAAAATTACCATCATCATCCCCGTCTAACCGCTTTAAATCCACCTCCACAGCCACTCCCGCATCTGTGTGCTGTTTGCGGTCCTGTCTGGAAGCGTATCCCGCCACAGAGCCACTTGCCTCGGTCACGAGCAGCGCTCGTTCTCGGTGTGGCGCATGGAACCTCTGGCACTGTGAAATGCAACATCTAGCGGGTGAATTTAGTGTCAAACACCGCAATATCACACGCTTACGGAGGAAAGTTGTCATATTGAATAGTTTAAAAGTTACTTTGATGTTGCAAATCAGGAAGAGTTTATCGGAAGTTCACCTTGTGGACTTCCTGTTTTATAAGATTACTCAGTTACTTTTTAAATTGGCTACATCATTCATTTCTAACACAAACGCATGTTTGCCGGTAACACTGGAAGTTATGCAACGGTCTTACGAAATTCCGGACTTCTAGGCATGTTACATGACAGCTGCTAATGGGATTTTTGTGTAGGTCTACTACCTGTTTCAAGTTTCTTTTTGTGTCACAAACCATGAAATTGCAGTATTTTACTTTTGTGGAATAAATATACCTTTTGTGGTTGCAGACAGTGTCCGGAGTCCCTTCAGACTCCTCTTCAGACAGAGCAGGTGTTGAGGTCAGCTTTTCCATCAGCTTGTCCATGTCTAGTCTGAACATGCATTATTGAATGGGTCTTTATGGTTATGCAATGGTACAACCAGGCAGTGGTTCTGCAAGCTTTATGGCAAATTCAGATTATGGGCATAGAAAAAAAATAACCATTTATAACCACATACTACTATTACTGCTGCAGTAGCAAATATGCTTTACTACTGTAGGCTATGGTGTTTTTGTGCCTATAAGCATCATATATTGTGGCCTATTCTCCCACCTTGGCTGGCTCATTGCTTGGTATCTAGCATACACCCTTGTCCAATATAGACATATCATTCTACAATCTGTTTTAATGATTTGCCTCCTTTCCTTTCTTTGTATGTTTCTAATGCAATGGAAAACTGATGGTAGATGACACTCACTGTTTATATATGAGGCTGTTTGAGCGACAGAATCTGAGCCAAAGGACAAACGCACCATCGTAACTGAAACTGGTCTGGTCTGCCACTGTCACCAAAGATCACCAGTATCAAAGACAAGTTAATACGTCAAAGGCGAAAGAGAAGATAGGGCACCATACATGATTCATCAAATGGGCTTTTATAATAACATTTAGCTACTGTTCTTCACTTTTTTGTGAACTTTGAGTCCCCCTCCTTTAATTCAAGTGTGCAGATATTCTTTATATGAGCATGTAACCCTTCTAAAAAAAAAAAAAAAAAAGCCTGAAATTGCCAAAAATAGTGACCTGTGTTGCCATGTAGCTAACATATGAAATTTCGGCAAGAGACCAACTCACAGATGACAAAGAGGCGAGCCACTGAGATGGTCTGAGCTTTGACTTTGAATGTATTGTAAGATTAGATTATAACAGACAACAGGCTCTGAAAAATGCTGATATAAGACAATGAAGTTATGGTAGTTTGAGTGAGAGCACACTGAATTTACTTAAACTGTTTATGAAAAATTAATAGCAGAAAAATGGTTCTGAATGAGCAGCAATCCACTTTGTCTCCTGCAGGGGGCAGCTTTGTATAAAATGCATCAACTACCTTCAGCTTCTCTTTTTCCATCAGATATCAACCTATCTGGCTACAACTTTTGCATTGAGCATAATAATAATAATAATAATAATAATAATAATAATAATAATAATAATAATAATAATAATAATAGTATTTTATTTATGTTCAGTCAACAGGCAAGTGTGTATCCAGACTGTGGCAGAGAGACCTCCAGACCCTAGATGGCTCAGGGGGTTGATATGGGCACAGTGGCTGGTGACAGGGCAGGATCCTGGGCATGAGTCAGAGCGTTGAGTGGCGTCTTGTTACTGGATCTGTCTGTCAGAGGAGACACTGCAGCTCTGCCCTGAACTTACACCCAGTTTGACCTCTGATGTTTTAACACAAACCATGTGAAAATGTTTGGGTGGTGTTATTATCTGATCATCTTTTTCAGGACACAATAGCTATGACCAGTACACGGAGAAGTGTCAGACAATATCCTATATTCAGAGCCAGGTATGTTATGAATCGTTCAGAATGACCGTGTAGTCTGAAAAGCTGATATAGGTATAGGTTTATGTGACAAGATTGCAAAATAACTTCCTGATTATAAAAAATTATAAAGGTTGCACCATGCCATCATAGAATGGAATGGTCTTTAGGTTGATGGGTGTAACCAGCAGCCTTGTCCCAGATAAAATCATAGAAAATGAGTTGGATGGATAGTGTACCTTTCTTATTTATTTATTTATTTATTTTATTTATTTATTTGAACCAATATTGTTGTTTACAGTTATACAGAATACTTTGGGTCTCTGGACAGTGCCACATTTTTGTTGACAATTAGCCAACTGCAATTTAAGTGTTATGTGACACTTCCTTGGTTAAAATAACACTGATGACTGCACGTTAAACTAATATAATGTCTTTAATAACTATATATGTTATATATGATATGATGTATATTCTGCTGCAGTTTGGAGCCTCGACACATACAGTCTAGTGCATTACAGCAGCATGCAGGTCCACAGTGTAGCCCGCCATCCGCATGACTGATGTATGATCTTACTCCTGGTTCAATTACATTAGAATGATGGAATCCTTTATGTGCTGGAAAAGGGGGTGAGACTTATGGCCTGCAAGATAGTAAGATCAAAGAAGAGTTATGTGCATTCTCTGCCATAGGGAAAGAGACTTACACCAGCATGAAAAAGTAGAGTAGAATATATATCAGCCATGTAAAACTCGTTAAGATTTGGTTCAAGGGTCTAATGTGAGAGCACAGACATGCCCAGCTGTATAATAATGAGTGACAGGGAGAGGCCGGAGTGGATCATCTGGGCGTCTGGCTGCTGACAGCTGACACTGCACATAGCCTTATTAAAAAATAAAGATGTTTCTACTGCAGTCTCTACTCCCTTCACTCACAGGCATTTTGTGACAGACTTTGAGAGGAACCAGCCAGGTGTGACAGGGACAACAACGCCAAATGTGTCCCCAAAATAAAGATAAAAATAACAGGACAGTAAACTGGACAGGATTTTGGTTTGAGTTAATTTTTTTTGTTTTGTTTTTTGTTTGATTTGGAACCATCACATGAAATGTTTAGACAATCACCTGCTTCCTGTCTCAGTTCTTTTGATCACAGCTTTTGCATGAATTTATCTACAAATACAATTCAATAGGGCTATTACTGGAGCACTGACAGAGTCAGAGACAGGGAGGAGAGCATCAAATGGACTCATTTTGCAGCTGGTCGCTCCAGCCTGCAGTAATGATACACCTCACTGGTTCACGGCTGACCACGGTCCAGTCATAATGACTGAGAGAAAGTTTATCATGTCAGGGATGAAAAATTCTTTGGTAGAAACTTTTGGCCAATATTCACACACCAGAACGCTGGGCTAGACTTGTCTTATATGAACATGAAGGAAGAGTGGTCATTATTCCTGAACTGGCAAACTTGTAGGATTTAATACTTAATAACCCACTTTGTCTTGTAGCCGAAATTATAATGAAACTCACTAATCAGACTTTTCAGTAAAACGCCTTATGCTGATCAGACTTTAGCAGCCCTTACTAAAGATAATAAGTGAAAAAAATAAACTTTTCTGAATGTATTTTGTTGTCAACAAGGCTCTGGGGGAGATAGCGAGAAGGAATTGGCCACTGGAACATGCAAGATAAGGCGTGTGTTAAGGCAACATTGTGATTGACTTGCGCACACACAGGAGAGAGAGACACACAATACGGACAGACAGCAGGCTGCTTGCGCGCTCAGAGCTGTGGAGTGCGCGAGCAGAGTACGCACAGGCATCAGTGCTGCACAGCAGAGCAAAGAGACTACTTCTGGTCCAGCGCGCAGTCTTGGACTATGTCTGGACTTCTATTGAGAGACTTCCTTTAAACTCTTTGTTTGTTTGGAAACTAACAAAAATGCACTCCGCTGGAGACAACTAGCTCCAGAGGTGACTCGCCGGGGCTGTGCGCGGTAGTGGGCATCCGAGCGTCCCTCATCATAGTCCGGTCACTATGAACCACAGCGGTCACCTTCTCAAGCCATGCCTCCTCGAGTAGTTCCAGGGTGCGAGTGAGCGACGGAACAATAGTGTTTTTAAGAAGGAAAAAGAAGAGTTGAGAAGTCAAGTGGCGCGAGCCCGTGACCCAGAGCAGATATCTCCCCACAGCCCCATGCAGGATGCCCGGGGAGCGTCGGGGAGTCCTGGTCCAACTCAGCCCGACTTCATGACGCTCTTGGCGGCCTCGTCATGCGTCTCCTGCCCGAGCCAAGCGCACAGTCCCTTCGGATCATCTTTCTCTTTATCTTCGTGATGGGGGTGACCCCTTCGCCGGCTCTCACAGCCGGCTGTCCGGACAGATGTGTGTGTGACGATCAGTTGGTGGTCCAGTGCGCGGGCCAGGACCTGACCCTGTTCCCCAACGACCTGCCCCTGGCCACGCGACAGCTCATATTGTCCAATAATCGGATAGGAGAGCTACCTGCGCTGCAGCTCAACTACCTGTCTGACCTGGTCTACCTGGACTGCAGTAACAACTCCCTCACAGAAATATCCGAGTCCACTTTTGGGAACCTGCGTAAACTCGCCTACTTGGACCTGTCGTTCAACGTGCTGCTCCAAATCGAGGACAGGACGTTTGGACCGTTGTCGTCTCTGGTGATGTTGCGCCTCACGGACAATCCCGGGCTCAGTGACATCCACCCGGACGCCTTCTCGGAAAACATGGCGTTGCAAGTGCTGGACGTGAGCAGGAACAACCTGACGGTGCTGAACATCAGCAGTCTGATCGCTCTGCCCGCACTGCGCTCTCTGGGGCTCAGCGGAAACCCGTGGAGGTGCGATTGTGACACGGAGGACCTTTGCCTGTGGGTGCAGATAGAAGGCTTCAAATTCCAAGGTCAGTACCCAGTGCCGTGCAACGCAAACAAATGTCACACAACGCATCTTCGGGTGGTCATCATTTATGGAATACCAAATCTGACTCTATAAGTGTGTGTTGTTAACAGTGAGACACATGATGATCCCAACAAAACTAATAAATGCTGAAACAAACAGCCTATTACAATTCCATAGGCTACATTATTAATATTTAGATTAATTAAGACTTAGGTTTATTGCCTATTGGAGTGTCCAAACTATGGCCCAGGGTCCTAATTATTGTTATTTTTTTTAAGCCTGAATAAAGATGTGATTGGATGATGGAACCAACCAAAAATGTGGATGCCCCAATTCTGAAGTAGAATATTATTATAAATCCTTTAGTGTAATGTGAATAGTCTTCATCAAGTCAGCGTGGTCCCTAATTTCAATCCCTCAAATTCCCTGATGCATCACACAGCAGACTTCCTATGTGGGCACATGTTGAGCTTGAAGCTAATGATTTGACCTGGGAGTCAGAGCAATCTTCAGCCTTCACTCCCTCTGCTCATCAGTAACTCGACCCACTCAAACTGCCTGTAATGTCTCAAGTTTACCTCAACAAATCAGCTCCTTTCAGTGGCATTTACTTGAAAACCAACCACCACCACCTTATCTGTTCTGAAATAGACCAGCAGGATTCAATTATCAGGCTTGGTGACTAGATGATGTGGGCTTTTACGAGTTAATTGACTTGGGTTGCCCAAGCTGGTAAACTGGGCTAGGTCTCTTAACAATGGGCCTTTGCTTTTAATAGCCTTCTGCGTGATCTTGGTGTATTGTGGTGTGGGTCCTGAAGGCAGGGATAATGTGGTGTCCTTTTGCTGTTCTCACAATAGCTTTACACCTGTGTGCTCTGGATCTGGTTTAGTCCAAGTGCTAGACAGCTAACCTCCAAAACACAACTCATAGGTTTTTTAATTTGGACAGTATGTTTTCAGGAGTAGTAGAGTGTGTTTGCATACACTTCTTCATATTTGGATTTGTTTGGGTACAGGTAACAGTTTTGTGGTTGCTAAATGGTTGTTAGTTCTATAACTCTATATAGACTGCCGCTTCACATTAAGCAAGACAAGCATATCCTGGCATGTTTTCAAATAATCTTGTTTCCTCAATTTAAATGCAATAACCAAATTGATTATTGGACTGTATGTGCATTAAAAGGAGGAATATGACAAGACACTCAAATTTGTCAGGAGTAGGAGCCAAAGTATTTGTGTAATAACAAAGGATTGGCAAAGAAATTCCCTATGGTCATGTCACGCTATAGTCCATCAAATACACCAGACACATTAACCATGTTTGGAAAAAGTTTAATTCACAAATAATTTTGACTTGGAGTTGGGAGTAACGTTGTCATGATACAAAAAATTAGACTTCAAAATGAATGAATCAACAGTACTCAATATCTATACCACAATGATAATCACTTTTTATTTAGACAATAGAATGTAATTTTCAGCATTAAATCATAGTACTTTCTTTTTAGTACCATCCCGTCTTATGTCTCTGTGATCCCTCAGTCATCCAGGTAGGTTCCACAGTGGTCCATGGGTGTATACTACTTTATGTGACTATGTGGACAACAGCTGCTCAGTTTGTAGTGTGTTTGTCTCGACAATTCAAAAACAAAAACATCATTGGTAGAGTGGTCACAGGTTAGTGGTGCAATTCCAGCTTGCTCAGATACATGCTGTCATTGTGTCCTTGGGCAAGACACTTAACCCTCCTTGACCCTAGTGTCTGTGTACATTGGTGCATGAATGTGTGTGTGAATGGGTGAGTGGTTCCTTGATGTTAAGCACTTTGAGTGCCTTAAAGGTGGAAAAGAGACCATATAAAATGTGACCATTTACCATTTGGTCTTATACTTTGGATACAGTTCAAGATAGTTATAAACCTATTCAGGAAAGGTTAATTTCTGTCTTGCAAATGTATAAATACTTCTTGCAAAATCTTGCAAAAGTATCAATACTTGTTCAAGTGATTATCTGGTTTCGATATTAGGTTTAATTTGATTAGTGTCAGATTTTTTATATTTTTTGACAACCCTAATTGGAATCTTAGGAAAGCTATTCTGGCCAGCCAAGACTTTCTTAATCTATAGAAAGACAACTCTCTGCAGAGAGCACTAATCAGGCTGTCAGACTATAGGAAAGCAACTATCGCAATGTTTCAGCAAAATGTTTTTAGTTGTAGTTGTAACAGTACAGTGTAGTCACTACACAAATCTATTTTATATAACAAAAAATTTTTCACTTAAAACAATGTTGTTGTTTTTTTTGTTTTTTGTTTTTTTTAACATTACCATGTGGTCTTATTATAGTTTTGATATACCAAGTCAACTATAAAACTAATCAAGAAATGTCCACTATTGTATGGTACTTGATAGCTTAATTTTCTATGTGGCCAATTCTTACCTTATCAGAGCTCAGAGCCCCTGGAAGCACCCCTGGTCAGTGGTCACACTCCCTTAGTCTGTGAGAACTTCTAACATTACCAAATATACTTTAGACACGATATCTTTTCAACCCTCAAAAGACAAAAGGATAAACTGTGAGTTGCTGTTTTTGTTACGTTTTACATCACACTTTCACACATCAGTAATGCTCACAGCATAGTCCACTACCCAGAAAAGACCTTAGGCTAAGATGAGGTTTTATTGAGCTTTTGAGTGCAGCCTATTCAGAAGTACTACAATAGACTCCATACTGCCATCATACCATGATAGAGCAATGATGCATATGCAGAGACAATACAGTAACCAGTGCAGAGGTAATAGGGTCAAGAGCAGAGAGTAGTGTTTGTGTGTTTGTGTGTGGGGGGCTGGTTGTGTTGCCCTAGGTTCTGCCTGTGAGTCTAACGTCCCAGGACTCCAGCTGTCTCTCCCTCTCAGTGTGAGAGTGAATCAGGTGCAGTGGAAGTGTTGTTTAATAGCATCTTCACTAACCTCTATAATGACCTCTGGTAATCACAGAGATGTTTCTGCTCACTGATGGAGTTCATGGTGTCTAGAGTAGCACATCAGTAGCACATAATAGGACACTTATAAATAGGATGTTACCAAATATATATTGTACTTAATATATACTCTTTACATTACTACATTCTGTAGTTCAGTATATTATTGTGTAGTTCAGCAATCATAACGAGGTAAACTTCATGCAATATGGATTAGATCATGGTGAATGTAAAGGGTCCTCATTTCTATTGCCTGATACTCTGATGAACATGAATTTGTTTATTTCACCTGAAACCATATGTTTTGGGATTTGGACACTAGATGCCATGAGCTGCAGAAACAGCTCTGCCTCGTCAGCCAACAGAGAAACTGGATGTTCAAGACACCTTTAGGAGCTGTGCTGTGAACAGTGCAAAGTTTTCAGAAGTCCTGCTGAAGTAGACTTTGATTTAGTAAATCCTCAGGACTGAATATAACATCCCTTTAGGTAACTTTCTAGTGGTTTATTGCAAATACATATAGGCGTGTAACACTGTATTTTTGTTGTTATCTATTTTAACAATGTTTTTGTAAAATGCACACTGTGGTCAAGAGGTAAACAGCTGTTGTATTAACAAACTGTAACAGGGTCACACATTATCAGGGATACCTGTGCAGGCTGTAAATCATAATTCTCCTCTTACCTTGGTATTCAATTGTCCCATCATACATTACATAATGAATAACTTTTTCATATTAGAGCCTCATGTAACTCAAAAAAATAAATGTTTTGGCTTGGGTTTTCAAGTGAAAACATTTCTAATTGTAATCATCAATCTCAAAGGTTTTTTTTTAACCAGGCTGTGGCAATATGTAGATGTCTTTGGTCACTAACAAGTGAAACAAATTAATTTATCTTCTGGTTTTCCATAACAAAACTACAGTAAACCTTATATCTATCCTTTACTGCAAAAATTTTAAGGGGCTTCTCATCCTTTTTGACAAGAGAAGCATCATTGCCATGTCCTGGAGTGGACATGAGGGTATTATAGCTCCAGTGATGGGGAAAATATTTCTGGACGCCTTACCATCCCGGGGCTAACAGCCAAAGCAGAGGCCACACTCGGGCCAGACGTTTAAATATTCATCAAAAGAAACTGGAGGTGAATGAGATCACAGAAGGGAGCTGGGAAGTTTTTGTGTGCTATGCCAAGTAAATAAAAGGAGAGATTGACAGGTGGAATTGGTCAAATAGATGGAGCTGCTTGTCAAAACAAAAATAAATGGGAAAGATAATAAAGTGTATGTTATCAATCAGCCCTGTGGCCCAGATCTGTCATTCAAATATATTATTGTTATCAACACAATCATCAGCCTATCACCACAACTAATACAAGGTTACGCCGGACTCAACCATGGTTAAATCAGAAGGACAGGCTGAACTATCTTTTAACAGGAACTAAAGGAAGTCAAACAGGACAAAGGATCAGGACCTATTCAACAGTGGGTACATATGGCCATTGGCCAATTACATGCAGAGGTGGGAATCAATGATGGAGAAATTACTCTTGTGACAATTTATTTGACTTAACTGATACTATTTTGTAAGTAACAGATAAAAGCTTTATCTTGACATATGAAACGTTTTGAATGTAATTTTATTATATTATTACAGTGTGTCATTTGTTAACTTTTTCTATGCTTTTTGATTTTTTTTTTTTTTTTTAATCTTTTCTCTGTCACTGATTACAACAACCTAACCTACCCTAAATGTAATGGACATATCAGATGTTATGTCCAAACTGTTACTCATGACTTATATTTTCTTCAAATATATATTATTTCTATTAATTACTCGCATAGAAATAATAGTATAATTATTAAAGTCTCCTTTTAACACAAGAGTACATTTCAAAAAAGTACTCTTAGGTAGTTGAAATATAAAAGACAATGGAAGGATTCACAGTCATATTAATTAACTGAATGCACCACTTTGTTTCTAGACTGTGGAAGAAAAGAAGACACATCAAATTGATGTA